TTTCAGTATAGGTACTCCTGAATGTGCTGCTTAAGGATCTGTTAACCAAAATTTGATATCTTGATTATAACTTGTTCAAATGGCTTTTAGAAAATGTTCAATTGATTTTTAGAATATTGTAATTACTTTTGCAATGCTATTTACTCGCCACTTATGGGTTTTCGAGGTCATTTCTTGGTGCTTGTGTATTATTCTGGATGTACTTAAATAGTTAGGCACATTAAATTTTAGTTCAGAGAGAAAAAGTATTTTTGGCCAAAAATCCTTTAAGGCCTTAGACTTACAATTTTTGTCATTTCGGCCAAAAAATGGATTTTGTTCAAAATTTCAGTATAGGTACTCGTGAATGTGCTGCTTAAGGATCTGTTAACCAAAATTTGATATCTTGATTATAACTTGTTCAAATGGCTTTTAGAAAATGTTCAAATGATTTTAAGAATATTGTAATTACTTTTGCAATGCTAATTACTCGCCACTTATGGGTTTTCGAGGTCATTTCTTGGTGCTTGTGTATTATTCTGGATGTACTTAAATAGTTAGGCACATTAAATTTTAGTTCAGAGAGAGAAAGAATATTTTGGCCAAAAAATCCTTTAAGGCTTTAGACTTACAATTTTTCGTAATTTCGGCCAAAAAATGGATTTTGTTCAAAATTTCAGTATAGGTACTCCTGAATGTGCTGCTTAATGATCTGTTAACCAAAATTTGATATCTTGATTATAACTTGTTCAAATGGCTTTTAGAAAATGTTCAAATGATTTTAATTACTTTTGCAATGCTAATTACTCGCCACTTATGGGTTTTCGAGGTCATTTCTTGGTGCTTGTGTATTATTCTGGATGTACTTAAATAGTTAGGCACATTAAATTTTAGTTCAGAGAGAAAACGTATTTTTATTTGCATTCCTTTAAGGCTTTAGACTTACAATTTTTGTCATTTTCGGCCAAAAAATGGATTTTGTTCAAAATTTCAGTATAGGTACTCCTGAATGTGCTGCTTAAGGATCTGTTAACCAAAATTTGATATCTTGATTATAACTTGTTCAAATGGCTTTTAGAAAATGTTCAAATGATTTTTAGAATATTTTAATTACTTTTGCAATGCTAATTACTCGCCACTTATGGGTTTTCGAGGTCATTTCTTGGTGCTTGTGTATTATTCTAGATGTACTTAAATAGTTAGGCACATTAAATTTTAGTTCAGAGAAAAAGTATTTTTGGCCAAAAATCCTTTAAGGCTTTAGACTTACAATTTTTGTCATTTTCGGCCAAAAAATGGATTTTGTTCAAAATTTCAGCTATAGGTACTCCTGAATGTGCTGCTTAAGGATCTGTTAACCAAAATTTGATATCTTGATTATAACTTGTTCAAATGGCTTTTAGAAAATGTTCAAATGATTTTTAGAATATTTTAATTACTTTTGCAATGCTAATTACTCGCAACTTATGGGTTTTCGAGGTCATTTCTTGGTGCTTGTGTATTATTCTGGATGTACTTAAATAGTTAGACACATTAAATTTTAGTTCAGAGAGAAAAAGTATTTTTGGCCAAAAATCCTTTAAGGCTTTAGACTTCCAATTTTCGTCATTTCGGCCAAAAAATGGATTTTGTTCAAAATTTCAGTATAGGTACTCCTGAATGTGCTGCTTAAGGATCTGTTAACTAAAATTTTATATCTTGATTATAACTTGTTCAAATGGCTTTTAGAAAATGTTGAAATGATTTTTAGAATATTTTAATTACTTTTGCAATGCTAATTACTCGCCACTTATGGGTTTTCGAGGTCATTTCTTGGTGCTTGTGTATTATTCTGGATGTACTTAAATAGTTAGGCACATAAAATTTTAGTTCAGAGAGAAAAAGTATTTTTGGCCAAAAATCCTTTAAGGCTTTAGACTTACAATTTTTGTCATTTTCGGCCAAAAAATGGATTTTGTTCAAAATTTCAGTAGGCTATAGGTACTCCTGAATGTGCTGCTTCAGGATCTGTTAACCAAAATTTGATATCTTGATTATAACTTGTTCAAATGATTTTTAGAATATTTTAATTACTTTTGCAATGCTAATTACTCGCCACTTATGGGTTTTCGAGGTCATTTCTTGGTGCTTGTGCATTATTCTGGATGTACTTAAATAGTTAGGCACATTAAATTTTAGCTCAGAGAGAAAAAGTATTTTTGGCCAAAAATCCTTTAAGGCTTTAGACTTACAATTTTTGTAATTTCGGCCAAAAAATGGATTTTGTTCAAAATTTCCGTATACTGTAGGTACTCCTGAATGTGCTGCTTCAGGATCTGTTAACCAAAATTTGATATCTTGATTATAACTTGTTCAAATGGCTTTTAGAAAATGTTCAAATGATTTTTAGAATAATTTAATTACTTCTGCAATGCTAATTACTCGCCACTTATGGGTTTTCGAGGTCATTTCTTGGTGCTTGTGTATTATTCTGGATGTACTTAAATAGTTAGGCACATTAAATTTTAGTTCAGAGAGAAAAAGTATTTTTGGCCAAAAATCCTTTAAGGCTATAGACTTACAATTTTTGTCATTTCGGCCAAAAAATGGATTTTGTTCAAAATTTCAGTATAGGTACTCTTGAATGTGCTGCTTAAGGATCTGTTAACCAAAATTTGATATCTTGATTATAACTTGTTCAAATGGCTTTTAGAAAATGTTCAAATGATTTTTAGAATATTTTAATTACTTTTGCAATGCTAATTACTCGCCACTTATGGGTCTTCGAGGTCATTTCTTGGTGCTTGTGTATTATTCTGGATGTACTTAAATAGTTAGGCACATTAAATTTTAGTTCAGAGAGAAAAAGTATTTTTGGCCAAAAATCCTTTAAGGCTTTAGACTTACAATTTTTGTCATTTCGGCCAAAAAATGGATTTTGTTCAAAATTTCAGTATAGGTACTCCTGAATGTGCTGCTTAAGGATCTGTTAACCAAAATTTGATATCTTGATTATAACTTGTTCAAATGGCTTTTAGAAAATGTTCAAATGATTTTTAGAATATTTTAATTACTTTTGCAATGCTAATTACTCGCCACTTATGGGTTTTCGAGGTCATTTCTTGGTGCTTGTGTATTATTCTGGATGTACTTAAATAGTTAGGCACATTAAATTTTAGTTCAGAGAGAAAACGTATTTTTGGCCAAAAATCCTTTAAGGCTTTAGACTTACAATTTTTGTCATTTTCGGCCAAAAAATGGATTTTGTTCAAAATTTCAGTATAGGTACCAGGGCTGTGGAGTCGAAGACAAAACCTTCGACTCCGACTCCTCAAATTTTTATGCTTCCGACTCCGACTCCTTGGCCTATTTGTAACAACTATTTCTACCATCCTAATTGTAATTTGTATGTTGTAACCTGCATAGGTAAAAAGTAAAACACCGTGGCTATACTGCTACAGCTTTATTAATGATCTGGACGATATTTAAGAACTACAAAAAGATGATAGGCTTGACTTTCAAAGTTTCAATCAAAAGAAAAATAAATTTATTAAGAATTCAAGATATTAACTAGAAAACACCATTTACATGTATATCTAAAAGTTCGATCTCAGCATATGAATTTTGTTTAAGCTCATAATCTGATGTGGATCTAAATGATGATCCTACAATTCCTTTTAAAGTAAAGTTATATATTTATGTACATTAAAGAAATGAATACCTTATTAAGGAAAATGGATAAACCTTACATGATTAAGTTATTAAATTAAATTTGCCTTAATCTCACCAAAAACAGGTTGTAGCTAATTGTTTTGTAGCTGAGAGCCTCTGTGCAGTTTTCAACGAAACAAAATTTGATATAATTCAAAATTTCAAATGGTAAAGAAGAGACTATCGTCCAAAATTATAGTGCTATACTGTGCCTGCTACAATAAATTCATAATAATGCTTATAAAATGGAAATAAATTCTTTTAATAATTTAAGAAAATTAGTGGGATCAGTGGAATCACTGCAATGAATATGCCCGAGTTCATATATTTGTTCTTAGGAACAGAATAGCTTCAGTCGGAGTCGGAGTCGGAGTCTGGACAATTTTACCGACTCCGACTCCGACTCCACAAGCCGAAATTTCCTCCGACTCTCCGACTCCACAGCCCTGGGCTGACCGCACGTGAGGCGTGGATGTTCTCTGCTGGTTTGATGACTGTTTCGTTCCCGACGTGAAGAAATCCTGTGAGCAACAGAATGTTCCATTCAAGATTTTGTTGCTCCTTGACAACACACCAGGACACTCGCCCCTACTGTTGGATCGTCACCCCAACGTAAAAGTGGTCTTCCTTCCTCCCAACACTACGTCATTAATCCAGCCCATGGACCAGGAGTTGATATGCAACGTTAAGGCTGCATTCTCTACAAAGAAGTTTAAGCTCCTGAACGACTGTACCAACACCAAGGATGAGTTGCGTAACCTGGGTGACACCGATAGCAAGAGCGACGAGGACGAGGAACAACAGTTGGCAGAGCAAGAAGTTCTCGTCAAACACTTTTGGAGGAAATTTAACGTCAAGAAAGCTGTGGACTTCTTGGTGGAGGCATGGGATCAGCTGTCTGTAGCAACGGTTCGTCACGCATGGAGACATGTGTTGCAAGGTATCCCAGGTGGGAGGCAAAGTCAACCTGTGACTGGTGAGGTTCAGACTGTTGCAGTAGCAGTGGACCTTGCCAGAGAAGTTGCGCAGTGTTACAGCTGCAGGCTTCTCCGAGACCACCAACAACAACATTATGGAGGTGATAAGGGATCCTGATGTAACTGCCGACGAGATGTTAGAAGACAATCACGTCAGTGAAGAGGCAGGTGGTGCGTCATCCCGAGAACACAAGTTAACGTATGGTAATATTAGGGATGCCATCGAGTGTGCAGAGAAACTGAAGCTCTTCCTTTCCGACGACCCTAACGATAACCGGTATGCAGTCTTCACTACCCAGCTGTTGCAGACTATGGAGCCGTACATCAAGGTGTATCATGACATCAACACTAGCCGTCAACAAAGCATTACCGAGTTCTTCGCCCACAACCCACCACAGCCAGCCCAAGCCAGTGATAGTGACAGAGACAGTGATGGTGACTTTGAGGGATTTGTCAGGGAGGCCCTGACAAATGTGGATGACAATGATAGTGACTAACCTGAGGGCCAGTAGTCTGCCCTCTGCCTCATTTATTTTAAGCTTGCACAGTACTTAATTTGTTATAAGCCATTTTAACATACCATATACCTATTTAACTTAGTAGTTTGCTCTGGTTTGTGCTAATGAAAGGCTCACTGTATGAAGTTCACTGAAGAGGTTAGGATTACGGTGACCAAAAATGTGCCCTAGGAATAGTGTCTCAATAATGTCGCCCTTTTCTTAAACGCATCTGTGACGTAAATGATCGACTTACTGTACGTACTTTTGTGTCTTTTTTGAAGAAATCACTGGTCAGGAAAAATATAAAAATTGGTATAAAATAATGGTGTATTTATAGACACATGTATAAATTTTTTCCTATGTAATACAGTACCTGCATATAAAAGGCTGTAGTAATATTGTTATATAGTAATATAAGAATTATTACACATTGCATCAACTCGCCTGACTTTGGGAAGAATCTGAAGAAGACCTTCGTTCAGTTTTCTCCATTTTGCGCATCATACTTTCAGCCCAATCCAATCCAAACCTCTGTAAAATTTCAGCCATGTCAGGCATTGAGGTTACTGACTCAACGGGTGAACCATTTTTTGACTGCTTGTCTGCTAATTCACTTGAATCCTTCCAATGAATCTTACCCTGATCATCAGTCACACTGCTGTGATGCGAGATGTATTGCTCTTGGGAACTGTCTCCTACCGAAGAAGTCAGTGTAGTTTCATGATCCAAGGGAATGAACCTGGAAATGTTGCTTGTTAGATCCAGTGTGTCTTCTTGTGGTGTATCTTTAGTACCCAAGACACTCTCAATATTGTCTGATTTTGCCTCGAAGCCTGGCAAAGATGAAGCCCTTCTTGTCATGCGAATATTATCGGATGCCTCAACCATTGGTGGTTGTACAGTAAAAACAGATGGTTGTGTTGATTTTCTGAATAATGGTCTAATCTCATCATCTGAATCTTGGAGGTTTTCTCTTTTAAAAGAAGTGCTTAATCTTCCTTCCCATGCAGTATATTCTGCATGTTTAAACTCAGTTTGAAAGGTCATGTGTGTGTTCCTTTGAAAGAGTTTCTTCCCGTGACCATCTGCGGTTGCCTCTTCAGACACAAAAATTTTATTCTGTGGTCTGGTCCCTTGAGGTATGTGGAACGCTTCTGAATCTTGCTGCTGGAGCAATGAAATTTGACTTTCTGCATCATCCAGCGAAGATTCATATTCCCTTGATGGAGTCTGGTAGCTGGTTGAACCACTGATGTTAAGATGACTTTCAGACAAATCTGAGCTGGCCTCATATATTGTACTGAGACCAACTTTCTGATGTGTGCTCCTGCAAGAATGATAGAGTAAAATAAATTTATATATTTTTTATCCACAATAAGTTCATAAAAAAATAAAAAATGGAATGGAAAAACTGGGATTACATTTCATATTAAGATTTTATCAAATTAAATTCATCAGCATGGCTAATCTTTTGAGATCCACTCAAATGAATAAAGAGTGCTGATGCTGTATGAGTATGTACACTTGAATGTACAATACTATACTGTACTGTATACACACTTGTACATCTTCACAGTACAGTACATGTGTACACTTATTAAACCATTGTATTGCACACTCCGTTACATTTACATACTACATTTCAGTATACAGTATACTCAAACTGTCTTATATATTGTAACAGTTTGTGAGCACAACAAAGATGGTGTTTACAGCATGGGCCATGTGTTCAAATTGAGATGCCAGCTAGGCCTCTCAGACTTGCCCTCTGGTTAACAGATATTTATTGGGATTATCAGACATCGGTTTTAACAGAATTTCAGCATCAGTCTCCCCCAAATTGATTTTTAATCCTGAGAATTTCCTGTATTGAGACGAATTCTATTATCCCTAGAGTAAATCACACATCTGCAGAAATTTTTCGAGCATTAGTGAATGTTTCCACTTCTGAATTATGCATCTGGCACAAAGCACCATTGCTATGGAGGCATAACTGCTGTCAGACAGACACAGAGCGGTATTTCTTTATGCAAACACTACTGTACACGTACAGTATAGTTAAACTCCCTCTAACCCAAACTCGCTTAATCAGGATCCCTTTGCAAACCTGACTGGGGTCCAGCACTGAACACATGTATCCCAACACGGAAAAATACAACCAAAATCCGATTAGTACAGGGAAAAGTTTGTGTAGGCATGGACTGCCACTGGTGGAACAGGAGGATGACTCAGCAGCTGCCTCTAAGGAAGCAGTGGAGGTGGTTGCTAAGGAGCACTAAAGTGAAATGTCTAAGAAATGTGAGTACAGTGTATAGCACATATTGTCAATGAAATTAGAAGTCAAAACATAACCTACACTCCGCCTTCATTGGAGTACATTATGAATGTCGCACAATCACTTCCTGCCTCAACCTCCTTCTCACCTCAGGACTTAACGGCCTCATGATAAGTAAATAATTAATAAGTCCTGTATACTTTATTATTAACATGTACTTTGTGCTTCTATTTTTTATCAATAGGTATATGTATTATAGTACATTAATAATATATACCATATGAAACACTCCTCTACTTTGTACAACTCTCTTATTACTCTCCCATTACATTAGTCTGCTGCCATGAGCAAAAATATTTATGGCTCACAAAAAAAGTGTAAAAACTTTTATACACAGCATCTGTTCTTATTGTATTTAAAAGATAATTTTGGTACCACACTGATCCTTAATAAATTCTCTACAAGATTGTTTCAATAAAAGATCCTTAAACAAAATATGACATAATATAAATGATGGGGACTCGATTCTTTTATGAAAAATTTAAGGAATGTTTGCATCACAGTCTATAAAATCTGTTCTAATTAAGTTAGAAGCACCATTTTTTACCCCAATAATCCTGAATTAACATTCAAGTACTATAGCATGTTTTTTTCCCAGCTGAGAAAAGATGCCCCGCCCCCTCCTCAAAATTTACATCTGATTGGCTGTTGCAAACCTGTCCGATTTTGTCCTGAAGTAATGATGTATTTCTAAATGAGTTTATCCACAATCGTTGGGATGACCATTTCTGACGAGAAAGATATTTAGCTAAATTATATAAAGATACATGCATTCATTATTTCAAACATAAGCACGAAGGAAGTTTATCAGAAGTATTATACATGAATTAACTGTTAAACTCGGGTAACAAATTCACGCTTCTGGAGGATGCATTTAATACATATGTACTTATTTTTACTCACAATAAGGCATACCAAGACAAATTTTGTATCATTAATACTACATTATGCAAAAACAACATTTTAGAAATCAGAATCACATTGAAATATTACACGAAAGTTAACAGAGGGAGGAAATATGACTGCTAACAACTTCATATTTTTCCCGCCTTTCCTAACGGTCGTGTAATATTTCAATGTAATTCTGATCTTTTAAAATGTTGTTTTTGCATATCGTAGTATTACTGATACAAAATTTGTCTTAATATGCCTTATTGTGGAAAAAAATAAGTATGGTATCTTTCTCAACTAACACTATAGAGCGTTTTCTAAATCATGCTTTTCCTGTGTCTTTGAGCAGGTCTAGCTACATAAGCTGTTGGATGGTGGTGTCTGGCATCTTGTATGGCGATTCCTGCCAATCGGCATTAGAACCCCCAGAACACCCTCTGTCTCTTCCCACAGTCAAGGCTTTTTTTTTCTTTTTAAACAGGCATTAGTCTATCCGGGCATAGGTCATTGAACCACATTGGGGTGTGGGAGACAAAAAAAAACAGGAATTAGCTCATCCAGGCACAGGTCACTAACTCACACTGGGGCCTGAGGGGCAAAATATAATAATAATAATAATAATAATAATAATAATAATAATAATAATAATAATAAATAATAATAATAATAATAATAATAAATACAAAACTGAAAAAGTCAAGAGTGAGAAACAATCTACACTATGTTTGTTGTGTTGTCAATATTAAGAGAAACAGTATGACCCTGCAATTGTGTGTAAATGAAGCAGAAAGTCAGATCAGCAACCTGGGACTTGGTCACAACTTTTGTGATGCCATATGGCAGCAGGGTCTACCATTGAACAACACATTATGCTTCCAATATCTTCCCAGGCAGTAGTGCCTCCTGTTTGGTAGCGCACCTGCCTACTCAATGAGGTTCAATAACCATGAAGTGAGCATCAACTCAGTAGGATAAGATATACTCTGAATTATTTGGTAGGGGTGAAGATGAACATGGTATTGAAAGAGAGGCATGTATTGATAGTGATATTGAAGGTGATGATAATGATAGTGACCCGGACTACGTAGTTGAACAAGAGGAAAGCAATGACGATGATGATGAGTGGCAAGTGGAGGAGAGAGGGTCACTGCCTTCCCCATCTCCTGGAACGTCCAGTACTCCCTCCACTTCACCGACCCCTACCTCTCCCAGTCCCATTGCATGATTACATCTGCCCACACTCCTTCCTCCCTCCTACACTAGCTCTTTCGCTCCCTCCCTCCCTCCCATACTCCTTCCTCCCCACCTGCCCCCCAGACTCCTTCCTTCCTCCCACACTGCCAATTCTTGTCACATGACAGTAGTATTCAAACATAACTCATAAGCACTCAGAGCCAACCCACCCATGTGCTCAGCACATGATGCAATCATTCAGTTATTCATTTGAATGCCTAGAACAGAGATTTTTCTTGGAATTTCTCGATATGCTAAAATTTTATTTTCCGTGCAATGGAAAGTTTTGAGAATCGAAGATTCTGGTTAATGGAGAGATTACTACTGTACGTAAAATGTAGTATCATATATGTATCTTAATTCTGTTGCTTGTAGCACTTGTGAGTACGTTATCCCCCCCCCCCCCACTATTATAACTTTCTTAGATCTTCCTTTTTCACACCTCAGTGACCCTGAGTTTTTACTGTTCCTTAATCAGTATCAATGTTCCCACAATGGTGATGCTAGTGTCATTCCCTTAGATGTGCTAGATCGTATGTGTTACACCCCATTTACCCATGGTATCGACACAATACTCCGTCATATCAATCCTGATGCCTTTCTACAAAACTCACTGGGTTACACCAACCCAAACTGTAACTATTACTTGACTCCCCCGAGTTTAGTTCTAGTCTTCTACTACCTCATTCCTTCTCCTTGATTAGCCATAACATCAGCAGCATTCCCCTTCATCTAGATATCGTTTTAGATCAGTGTTTATCTTCTATTGCCCACAAATTTGATGTACAGGGTACTTGGGTTCTGTGAGACCAAACTCACTAACGATATTGAATATTTGTATAACATTCTTAACTATAATAGACACTGCATCAACATGTCACGACACAGTGGTGGTGTCGCCCTATATGTTGATATCAAGTATAACACTTCTGTAAGAGATGATTTAAAGGTTCAGGAGGAGTACATGGAGAGTGTTTTCACTGAATTACATAATGACACACAAAATATCCTAGTAGGAGTAATCTAAAGAAGACCCCACACTAATGTAAGAAATTTTCTTGATAAATTTTCGAAGCTTATCTCTATCATAAATTCAGAGAGGAAACTTTGCTACATTACAGAAGATTTCAACCTTGATCTATTAAAATCAGAAACCGACACCTCAGTATTATTAGACCTTCTTGCTACCTGTCATTCTAAGCTATTCTTCAACACTATAACCAAACCCACTAGAGTAACTGCCACCTCTGCCACTGTGATAGATCATATCTGGACTAACAACACTCCTAACGATCTTGCAAGTGGAATTATTTATAACAATATCTCAGACCACTTCCTAGTTTTTGCCATGTATAAAACAGCCACAAGACCTGAAAGGTCTAGTAGAGTCTCAGCACAATACAGAGACTATTGCACCGACAAAATGCTTCTTTTTGAAAACAACTTACTAAATGCTAAGTGGGATCTTGTCTACGCCTCCGACAACCCTAACGTGAACAGCTGCAACTTCTCTTGCATCTTCAATGCTTCCCGCTCAAGACTAAGTCAATGAAAACTGCATCAACTTCTAAACCCGATATCACAAGCGAAATTAAGATAATGCTAAAAAAAATCCAAAATCCAAAGGAAATTTGCAAAAAGACCCATAACTTTTGGCGATGTTTACCGAAGTATCAGAAACAGAGTAACTCAAGCAGTTAAAAATGCCAGACGTAGCTATTATACAAATAAGCTCCGGTCAGCATCAGGCGATGGTAAGAAAACCTGGAATGTCATAAATACTATTCAGAACAGGAACACTCAGCCTTCGGCCCCCCACTCAGCTTTTATGCTAAATGATTCAGTTGTAACGGAACCCTCCCTCATTGCCAACCACTTCAATTAATATTTTATTAATGTTGGCAAAAATCTTGCAGAGAGCATCCCTGATCACCATGAAGAATTTAGAGCTTACCTGCAAAACATACAGCAAAATGAGCTGTTCTTATCCCCTGTCACAGCAGATGAATTACTGGCCATCATAAAAATGTCCAAAGATGCAGCAGCAGGCGAAGACAATATACCAATGAGCATCATTAAGAAAGTAGCCCACTTTGTAAACTTACTCAAGCAATAATCACCCACCACACATTTGAATTGTTTATACTGTATACAAACAATTGGAAGGTTATAATGATATGAAGAATTGGCCAGGAACAGCTGTAATAAAAAACATTTCCAGCCCTTCTTGAACTCGGGTTCAACCTCAAGTATAGTTCAGGTTGTATTTACTTGTCAATAAAGCATGTGGTAACTACAAGAACATTATGCACAATAAATTTAATGTTTTATTGCATTGAAACACGAGCAGCTAAAGAGGTTGGCATAAGTATACTTAATGGAACTGATATGAGAATGATGAGATGGTGGTGTAATATGACACTGAGAGTTAAGAAGGTGGCTGGATATCAAGAATATTGATAAAATTTTGTGTAGAGGTAGGCTGAGGTGGTTTAGGCATGTGGAAAGGATGGAAGAGAACAATTGGGTCAAGAGATGCAAAAGACTGAATGAGAATGGGAGGAGAGCTAAGGTAAGCAAAGAATGACAAGGGGAGTGGTTACGAGAAATGATCTTGAAAAAAGCATCTGGCTAAAGAGGTTGCTAGAGATGTCGCCTAGAGAGCTACCATCAGGTAATCACAGTTAACCACTGCAAGTATGCAAAATAGCCAAAAGACAATGATGATGATGAAATCACATCACTTTTATGAAGGAATCAAAACAACACTGACAATATAAGACTCCTTGGATATCTGTGAGGTACATAAGATAAAACAAAAGAGATCAACTTACCCAAATGTGACTTTTCGTGGTTGTCTAACATCACTAGATACAGTTGGGTATGTAGCTTCTGACCTATTACTTAGAGATGAATTTGAAGAGTCTGGCTTTGTAGCAGATAAATTTTCCTCGAATACTTGGTGCTGAAGATTCATTAGTTCTTTTTTCAGTTGCTCAAGGTTTTTAATGCTGTCAAGCACCTGCAGCTCTCTTCTAAGATCTGTAGGACCACCAGAGATTATCCCTGAATTTGATTCATCAGACTGTGAGCCTAATGATACTGAAGAATGTGGAAAAGGCTTTGCAATATTGGAGTTTAAACTAGCATTTGACTGGCTGTAAACTGGATGTTCAGGCTTTCTTGACTCATCATCATAAGATTGTGTTAAAGCAGATGACTGCTGAATTCTGTATCTTTCTGATGGGTTACTATGAGTATCTGTACCCTTATCATAAGAATATATACTATCTGATGATGAGTGACTGCTTAATTTCACTGGAATTTCATCAATATCATAGTAACTGGAAAAGGAATTAGAGTCTATAGATGATTCATGGGCAGATGACAAAGGTGAATCTGAAGACGAAGTGTTAAACACAGATGGACCTTTCTCCCTTTGTAATGATTCAAGAAATGAGCTCAGGGAACTAACATTGAAGCCAGAGCCTTCAACAGTTGATGCTGATATATTCTTTAATTCGCCACCCTTCATCTGTAGCAACTTTTTCATGTAGTAATTAAGTACCTCCTTCTTCTGCATTTCAAACTTTTCTTTCTTTTTTAGAGGTCTTTTGCCAATACCTTCTCCCTTCAGTTTTTCATAATAAACACTTGGAGATATAGACTTCTGGAGACTAGTTTGCCGAGTGCTTCTATCTGATTTTGAATCTATAATGTGCTGAATCTTGTGTCTTTGTTGCTGAATCTTCCTTAAGTTTTCATTAAGTTGTGAAGTTTGAATATTTCTTGCTGGGAGAGAGGATGGGGGACTTATGTATTCTGTGCTGCTAGTCCCAGAATATGAGTATTCCATAGGATGTTCATGGTCAGCTATGAATGATACAGGTTCTGGAACTTCATCCTCTGATGGTGTTATTGTTTTTAGTGTACTTCCATCACCTCTGATTTTAATTTTGATTTCAATATCATCTGAACTTGACTCCTGATTTGAACTCAGTGTGGAGAGTTGAGAGGCAAATCTTTGGGAGGAGTCTGTACTTCCATTATAGTGATGGGTTGGGAGGAGGTGAACTGGTACAGTATCTGCCAAGTGTATATCTTCATGTTCTTTACTGATGGGTCTAGAACTTACATATTGCCTCTGAGGTTGAGTCTCCCTTAAGCTGTCCATAGTTTTTTTTGCTAAAGGTATCCTAAATGGTAGAGACGATGGAGGACACAGATAATCTGTGCTACTGGTCCCAGAACTTATAGAACTCACTAAGTCTTTATCTCTCGGTAAACTGTAAACTATAGGTGAAGGAAGCCTTGAGTATTCATCCGCTGATGTTTGTGCTCCTACAGTACTTACATCTTCATCAATATTAACCTGTCTTTCTATGTCATCTGAACCTGATTTTTCCAATGAGCTCTTAGTAGATGGTAGTTCAGTTACAATTCTCTTAGATGTGCAGATACTTTTACCATCATGAGTGCCTGGGAGGAGATGAACAGGTATGGTCGCTGCCATGTGTATGTCCTTCTCTTCACCACGACGTTTTGATCCTCCGTATTGCTGGTCTTGCTGCTGGTGATCCTCACCATTAGGTGTCATCCCTCCATCATCATCATCTTGTGCAGTTATTTGTGTCTGCAGATACTGAGCATCTGATTCTACTTCTTCTTGCCTTGTGTATTGTCTCATATATTTATCCTCAGCTTCATCAATAACTTCCTTCTCTGAAGCCTCTTCCTCCTCAGGTACTGAGCTATATACACCCTGAAGAATCTCATTCCTTCGTTTCTTGATCTGATCCAACAAGGATTTCAAATCTTTAACTTTTTTACTAGAAGTCTTCTGAGCACTCATTACACTCGAAGTGTCTGTAACTTCTGAAAGGAAAAAAAGACAAATAAATACATATTAAAAAGTAAATCTTTTTATCGTCGCTACTATTCATCAAACGACTGTCAGTCATGATACAATATTGTTTATTTGTTATTCATTAATTTGTAAAGATACATTACTGTAATAATCTGTGTTTATTAATATCTGTACCCTTCACAAACAATATGTACTACATATACTGTATCTCAAAGGTAAAAACTAACATCATCATGTCTGCACTGGTAAAATGACCCCTTAGAGTGCTGCTTTGGATAGGAATAAATAAAAATAATAATACTAAAATACAAGAAACGAAAAAACCCACTGCATTGCCATTTGGCAATCTCATCACTAGCATGAGCTGTAATAAATAAGTACTCTTTATGACTTTGACCTCATTATATATTTTTTTTCTGCACATTCTACATGAAGATTGTGTGTGCATGTAACAGTAAAAAACATATATCGGTATCTACCCAAAAATAGGAGTTGAAAAATAACAATAAAGCAACTCGCAGCTTGCCGGGAGGATGAGATACCGACACATGCAACACTGCACCTCCGACAGTCATAAGAAATTTTTATTTCCTTTAAGTTTTAGACATTATGATTTGTTTTCTTCAAATTCTGAATGAAAAAATACAGTATGAATAAAGTTATATTTATCTACCCAAAACTACAAGTTGGGAAAAAAATATAACATAAACTCCTACCTCAGGCTGGTAGGAAGAGTGCTATGGGGATGTGGCCACCCCAGCTTACTCCCGGAGGCGCTCAATTTGAATTTGTACCCTGACCCAAATTCATATACCAAATTTTACGGCATATAAGATGCTTTTTTTTGTCTGAAAAATGGCTAAAAAATCAGCCTGGATCCTATATGTGAAGTTAAGGTCTCTCATAAACTAATGAATCCCCCAGGTACTGTCTCCAGTAGGCTAAGTTCTACCTGACCCAACTCCAGAATTACAAATATGTTATTGCTTACTTAAACAAGTCAGTATTGTTTTTAATTAATTAAAAAATATTTATTTTAAATTTAAAAGCTTAATTTATAACTACTGTACTAATGATGATAACCTGAGACGATTAACGTCTGTACGGCAGACACCCAACTCTTCAGAGGTAGCTAAGCATTAACCATTTCTGAACTCTTACAATCATTATAATCTATTAATGCCACACCTGCAACATTTATTTTTCAATCTACAAATACCTGATACAAATGAAGATTAACAAATAACTTTCTTTTCACATCTGCGTCTGTTTAGATCGCTGGCGGCATTGTAGCCAGGTTAGACTCATCACTGTAACCACCAGGCTACTGGGCCAAGCTGTGAGGTGTTATGGATGTTTTTCATCTCATATTTTCAGGTAGATGTATGTAACTTTCTTCATTTATTTTTACTCAGTTTCATGCACACACCATCCTACATACATATTGTGAAAAAAGTAAAAGAAATAATTGTCCAAAGGGCAAACACATAAAGGGAATATGCATTTTTTGCACACGAGTTAGCTTGTTCAGTGGGGGAGCGAAAGGAGGCAAGACATGTGAGGGGGAGGGAGGCATTGCTAGGGAATAAGCAGAGGTAGCATCTCTGTTGCTATGGTGAACCAGGGAGTACAGTACAGTAGTACGTATATGGTAATGGCAACTGTGTTAAACTTCCCATTTCGCTTTTATTTACTGGTTTGGCAATGCTTTTTTTTTTACTTATTTATTGGTATTATTTTTATTTATTCCTCACATTTACTGGTACTGTATACAGTATATTATTTTAAGAAAATTATGGCTACAGGAGGAAAATCAACAAAACTTTTTTCCTAAATACTCCCTGCTAAAATAGGGGGTGCATCTTATATGGCTGTGTGTCATATATGCCGTAAAATATGGTAAGTGGGGGAAGCTTTTGTATCTCAAAATAATGATGTCAATTTAGGAAAATTGTATTAGTGAATTTTTGTATCTTCCAAATCATAATGATAAACTACAGTACTGTAGTTTGTTATAAACAGTTTACCAATTAATGAAGAAAAACATCATAATTACAAATCACTAGTGCCTGGGTGGGAAGCAGCAGCAGAGGCCATTCCACAGTTGGAGGAGGGTGGCACAACCTTGCAAGACCTTCAAGCCATTTTTTTTAATGCCACTGGGAAAACCTGGTTATCGCAGTTAACTACAAGTTACTATTTCAAGATTTATTTTAGTATCGCAGGGAAAGGATTAAGACATGAGATTTATAATTCTTATAAAGTTTTATAGCAAATGACTGAGACAGAACTCTTAATGACATTCAATTGTTCCACACTGAAAGAGTAAAATTGTGTTAAACACTTAGAAGCATTTTAAAGAGATGAAGATATTAAAAGAGTAAGAAATACAAGGGAAAAAATTATGTGGCAGACAAACAAGCGCAGTCAATCCCACACAATATACTGTCCTAAAGCATGGTCTTTTTAGAATGTTAATAATTTGTTCCTTATTTCTTGAGTAAAGTCTCCAATATACAGAAATCAAAATATCAAAATTAGTGGAACAGATATCTTTACCAAAAATAATCACAATGATATGAAATATATAAAACAAAGATAGGGGTGCATGAAATTTCCCAGCTTTGCAGTGAAGGCACAGAGTTATGTTGCATTAAAAGTCACAGTAACACATGAATTGAATTTTACCTGACAGACCAGATGACTCAACAGCAGGTTGTGTGTCATCACTTGAAACATCTTCTGCCTGTAAAGCATCCTCCTCTTGAAGAACTTTCCCCACAGCTTTCTCCATAAGTCGTTGCAGCTTAGCGTGATGTTTTAATCTTGTTTCTTCAGTCTCATAAATCTACAAGGAATATGTGACCTTGCTTTTTCATTTGTCCCATAAATGTATTCAGTAATATCAAATTCAGTGCAAAACTTGAACTAGTTCTGTGACTACCAGACCTGATGGATGATCGAACTAGTTCCACAAGTTAAAATAAGGAAAAGCTGGGATAATACACTCATTGAGACAAAAGACTAAATGTACTAAATATAAATGTTGGCGAGACTCTGGACAGCCAATTATGAAAATAATATAAATATCATTAAATACACGTGCTTGACCATCTTTGAGATATTCTAATGAAAATCCTACTTATTGACTGAAATATAAAGATTTAAAATAATGCAAACAGTCGAACCCTTTCTTACCATATAACATGCACTGCCTCTATATACCATGTACTAATGCTGTCATATGTGCATATGCAAGCTCAGCCATGTAGGAAGTAAGGTTAAAAATTATGAAAATTTTATGGCCCAAAGAATTTTCTCAGTACCCTGTACTTACAGAAAGACTGTCAGCTCCCTTGAGGTAGGAAGACAGCTGATGATCACGCTGAGCTTGGTCTAATTGTCTCATGAGCTGCTGATACATGCGACGCAAACGTTCTCTGGATAATGCCTCATTGCCTCGCTTCTCCCTCTTCCTGTCTTCTTCCTCAGCTGCCTTGCACTTTGCTTCTGCAAGCACTGCTTGGGCCATTTCCTCTACCACAGCTGCTTGCTTTGCATTGGGCTGTCATATTCATTATGTATAAACAATTATTTTTCTATGTCATAAACATGTACAATAATGGATAAAGAAAGAGCCCATTAAAGGATTTATTTCAATCTGATGACTTTAGTGACTTCTATAATATAGCTATCCTTATCAGTTTATGTTTACCCAATTTTACAAAATTTTGAACCTTCACATATAGTTAAACTCAATGATTATTAAGATGTATTACTAATACTGTATCACATTAGTCAATTACTAGGGGGATGAGAGAGAAATATTTTGAGTCTCAAAATCTGCATATAACCTGGTTTATTCATTAATCATTTGTCTAAATGTACAAGTAGCCAAACTGAGTCATCATATAACACTTAAAGCTAGTAAATAACATTTTTAAGAAAGTGTTTTCATAACAAATACTATACAGTAGTGACCCCTGTTGTAAAGTGGTCGTTTGCTGATAGCTGTCACATGAACGCATCTTGAGTAAACAACCTTCTGATACAGCTTATCCTTTTATTTTCAAGTCATATTACAAATTACATACAGTATTGTTATTTTTTCTCTATTACTGAAGATGTTATATTAATCATGATGAACCATAAACCATAAGAGGCCAATCATATGAGAATATAATACTGAATCAATCTATAAATAAACCTGACGAATGCAGCAACACCTGATTGGCCCCAGCCTGCTTACATACTCAAGTGTCTTAGTTCTCAGTAGGCCTATAGCAAATCTGATTAGACTACTGTACAGTATTCAGTAAGCGTGGTTCATTTCATAAGATTTTTATTTTATTTAATCTTCCCCATTTCTTAAAAACTTTTTTTTCTAGTATTTCTGGTGACCAGAGCATCTCAAGAGTCCGAAAAAAGCGAATTCCAATATAGTATTGGTCCGATTTATCGAGTTTTTACTGTACAAGTACAGCTCCTCCCCGACTTACGACGGGGTTAGGGACCCAAATCCAGGTCGTAAGTCGAAATGGTCGCAAGTCGAAAATGCTTAAATAATACAGGTACATAGAAAATCTAAAATGGGTGTCTCTTTTTCTTCTCAGCACCACAAAACTCTCACTTTTAAGCTTGCCACCCATTTTAAAGTGACTTACAAACAAAAATTTTGTCTGTGTACTGACGTTGAGGCTCAAAAATACGTAATTTGACAAAATTTTGGTACAACTGAGGCAGGTCGTAAGTGCGGGTGGTCGTAAGGCGAGTAGGTCGTAAGTTGGGGAGGAGCTGTATTTTTTTTTTTTTTAGTTTTACATGCACAAACTATTATTTATACAAAATGTGCAAAAAAAAAATTAATAATAATTATCATAAGATCAAAATCATAAAGGGATTAAACAATTACTACGTGTGTGGGAGCTAGCACAAGAGAATGAGGGAGGGAGGGAGGGAGCGGTATTCCCTCACTGCTCCGATGTCTTGTGCGTAGTGACATGATTGCCAAATGACAAGGTATTGTTTTTTCTGTTATTTAATATAAATATTTGTATTTATTCCTCATATTTACTGGTACAGTATATATTATTTCATGTACAAAGAATAACTTCTTCCACATGCAAACCATCCTCTGGAAGACATGACACAGTTCAACTGCTTAGCTTGGCAGTCACTGGGGACAGGCAGAACCTCCCATGCATCCCGCGTGGAGAATATAATTCACATTGCTGGAATTCTTATAAGATAGTGATTAATTTGAATGTAAACATGCCATAGTTTGCGCTTGACAAAAATTTTAGTAATCATTTTGTACATTATTTTGATTACATGTATAGTACAACTTTGCCCTTAGGACAGTGTGTGCTTGTAAATGAGTTTCAATAAATGAATAAAGTTACATATAACGAGCCAAAAATAATAGTTGAAAAACTTTATGTAGACAGAGCTTGGATGGCTAAATTTTAGAATGACCAATAATTTTAATACACGACCTTCTTGATATTTACTCCACTGGAAATGAATGTAAACATAGAACAGATTAATGTACTGTATTGGCGGACTAACCGATCAGCTGATGCTCACAACAAAACATGTTTGTCGTAAGGATTTCGTTAATCAAAGTTTTGTTCGTTAACCGAATTGAAGATCTTTATGGGAGCTAATTCGTTAATCGAAATTTTGTTAATCGAACCGTTCGTTAACCGAGGGACCACTGTATTTCCCTTACAGGTTTCTTGCCCTTATACAGAGTAATAATTGATGCTATCTGCTCTTTTGTTAAATCTTTCCTCTTGCCCATTGTGGTAAAAAAAAGCAAAGACGCAATGGGCATTGTGGCAATAAATAGGCAAAATTTTCTTGGAGGGGGAGGGAGGGGTATAGAACTCATAAATCTTCAATCACAAAATTGTACTCAGGCAACTGGTGAATGTTTTGATTGCTGGCTGACTTGTCCTTGAATCTCCCTTCGCTGCCAGACTTACAATGCCTATCTCAGCCCCAGCTGGCTGGTGTGGAGGGGTGTGAGACACTTCAGCAAAGATCACTTCCCGTCAGCCACCTCGCGCATAATACAATGGTGAGGAGTGTAGTGTACAATAATTTTTCTTTGCAATTAAGTGGGGTATGCTTTGCAAGGATCGAATAAGGGTGTTATAATGTCAATTGCGGATAAGCGGGGTTGCGAATAGTGAAGTATTCCTGTACTGTACTGGCAAAATAACTTGTAATTCATTCTACACCTGGTTTCTTTAAGTTTTTAAAATCTAAATGAGCTAGGTGTAATACATGCTAGATCAATAATTGTAATATGCATCATACCTTGGTAGAGTTCACTTCCTTTTCAATTATTACGTTCTTTGGTACGTAAGTTGTGGTGGTGAAAGTCCCTGCTTCATGAAATTGCACTGCTGGTGTTTTCTTTTCAACAACATATCTGAAAAAAATTCTATGCTCTGAATACTAGAAACAAAATGCAAGTGAAAAATAAGACATGCATATACTTGGTGAAAACTAGCCATAGAAGGTTGGGTTGGATTCCCTTGAGTAGTTAGGTCATATGTTCGGTTAGTGTAAATTAGGATGAAAAATCACTATCTAATTGCCCTCCTATCTATCAATCCATTCTTCTAAACTATGTATACAGACATTCATACGAAAGTCAAGATACAGTACACTGATTATTATCAGTGCTTGTCCAAGGATACAAAGTACAGTACCTCAAGACTTGAACCCTAATTGAAGGAAGAAAAAGAATGCACTCTGTATATCGTACTTTTCATGCAAATTTAGGATATGAAATTTGTAAGTGGGCTTAATGTTTCTTGCAATATCTTCAGCCTATACCTCAGAGCCAATTCTTATCACTGTTTGTGTTTTCACCTTTTCTTGCCCCAATCTTCCCTTTTTTTAGGGTTTCTGTTTCCCCTGACCCATCCCATACAAGTGGGAAAGGATGATAAATAGGAAGGATTCTTTCTTATCATACTCCTGCATATACTTTACCCACCTGCCACTCAACTACATTATTACAGGAAAAAGTCTTAAGCACAATATATTTTTTAATAGCACATTTTGTTTGAAAGTTAATTGATAAAGCATAGCTACAGTACAGTAGTTTAAGAAAATGACAAAAATAAAAGTGTGAGAAACTATTGTTTGAAAACTTCATCTTTCTGTTTTAGATTTAAATTCAGATTTAGGTAAAAATTACTTTTCTTCACTCACGTCTTCTTCTTAAAAGCTTCTGGAGTTGGTAAATTAGCAATGAGGTTTGCTCGAAGTTTCTCTCTATTGAGAACATCTTGACGCTGTTTAAGTAGTTTTGTCTTTTCATGTTGTTGTTGTAGTTGTTGATCTGTCTGTACCTTCTGTGCTTCCTGTCCACGCCTTTTTGCTTTTTGCTGGTTACATCGGGCAAGTTGATTTAAAACTTCACTTGCATTTGGCTGAAATGCAATGTAATTTTCTAAGAATGTCAACATGATTTGACAAAACTCACCACTTTAAAATTTCCATGATTAATACGAACATACTGCACTCAGTGCATGGATAGACCAAACATTGAATCATGACTTTACTTGGAGCAGAATTTTCAACAAGAGAAATTTACAGTAATGTTAATCATTACATTTAATCCTGGCATATATATTTTTTTTAACTGCATTCAATATATTCATAAGGAAACTAATAATAAGTGACTCACTCTCTCAGACCAAACCACCAAGCCTACTCTTACTTGGTCACATTGTGTTGTGTATTGGAAGAAAACAGTTTATTAATAATCATATAAAGTTTTCAAGTCTGTATTCATTCCAGCAGTGTGAATGACCACAAATTATTGTATCTGAACTGTACACTGAGATATATGTTTGGAATTAAGTTCCAAGTGCATTAATCTATATTGTAACAGGAATAGTATGTTAAGGAATGCAGAACCGGTACTGTACATTACAGTGAAGTTGGGATAATTCGAGCAATGCAGGCAATGACCATTGTACGATGGGGTTAGTGACCTCAAAAAGCCATCGATAAGTGATTGATCGTATACTGCTATCAATAACTTAGGGGAAAAACAGGTTCCATTCCTGATTCCCAGAAGAGCTCACACAAGTTTTATATCCTGCTGCTATAATGATTAAATTATGTCTAAATAACTCAAATATTTTAAAAATAAGACAAAATCAATACCTTTACAAAAAAAGATATAAATCAATAAATTTAAATAAAATAGATTTATTTTCATTTATCTTACATGATATGTACACTCGGAAACCATAACTCTAGCCCACCTGGGTCAGTGCTGGAGGTTAGTACAGTGTCCTTTCTGGACGGGGGCCCACTCTAACTATCACGAGGCAACACACGCACGAACACACAGTGTCATAGTACGGCTGTATAGATGACATTATGAATAAATATTGTATATGGCATTTTATACTCTGCATTATCTTCATTATATATAAACACAAAGAAAATTACCATAGGTTGTAGTTACAAAAGTATGAATGGAAATAACACTTCCAAACCACCCAGTGAGTCCACACAACGTTTACAGCGCATGTGTGTGTGTGCCAGACCACGATGCTTCCACCACACCCCATCATTCGCGTAACTATATGAAAAATCGTGTTTAATTCAACTACATATTTCAAAAACCTTAAATTACATGTGGATCAGTCACTCCTCATTTGACACACTTATAGTGTAATACTTTGACCATCCCACCTGGGCACATGGAGGCCCACGGTAACTCTCACGGGGCAACACACGCACGAACACACAGTGCTATTAGTATAATATTGTGACTTTTTATCTACAGTTATTGTTGTAAATCATGGACAGGAAGAATACATAAATTGTAATATCAAGTGTATGGTTCGCTCAAAGCCACCCCAAGTCAGACAACGCGTTACACAAGTTGCACAGAGAGAGAGAGAGAGAGACTTGGGGTGGCTTTGAGCGAACCATACACTTGATATTACAATTTATGTATTCTTCCTGTCCATGATTTACAACAATAACTGTAGATAAAAAGTCACAATATTATACTAATAGCACTGTGTGTTCGTGCGTGTGTTGCCCCGTGAGAGTTACCGTGGGCCTCCATGTGCCCAGGTGGGATGGTCAAAGTATTACACTATAAGTGTGTCAAATGAGGAGTGACTGATCCACATGTAATTTAAGGTTTTTGAAATATGTAGTTGAATTAAACACGATTTTTCATATAGTTACGCGAATGATGGGGTGTGGTGGAAGCATCGTGGTCTGGCACACACACACATGCGCTGTAAACGTTGTGTGGACTCACTGGGTGGTTTGGAAGTGTTTATTTCCATTCATACTTTCATAACTACAACCTATGGTAATTTTCTTCGTGTTCATATATAATGAAGACAATGCAGAGTATAAAATGCCTTGTACAATATTTATACATAATGTCATCTATACAGCTGTACTATGACTGTGTGTGTTCGTGCGTGTGTTGCCTCGTGACAGTTAGAGTGAGCCCCCTTCCAGAAAGGACCCTGTACTAACCTCCAGCACCGACCCAGGTGGGCTAGAGAATATGGTTTCCGAGTGTACATGTACAGTAGTTAGCTGCAATCCCCCAGCTGTCACTACAAGGAATTTCAGATAGACATGCATAATTTTCTTTATGTTTTTAACTTTGATGCATGCACACACAATCTTTCAAACAGAATGTGCAAAAAAATAAATAAAAAATAATAATAATAATTATTACAGTATTAGTTATAAGGTAAAAAACATAAAGAAATAAACATTTCTTACATGCTCAGGACTTATCACAGAGCAGCCTAGACATACATGAGTTTCTTCATTTATTCTTTTTTATTGTGACATGCACACACAATCTTTCACACAGAATATGCAAAAAAATAAAAAATCAAATCAAATAAAAATGAAGAAATTACTATAATAAGGGCAGTCACCCAGCTGACTCACATCAGGAGAGGGTAGGAAGGGAGCGCGGTTGGAATTGTGAGTCGGCTACACAGTTACAGCCAATTGCTTCCACACATATAAATGTTCACTTCCCACACATATTCATCCATGCTCTTCATTTTTCTTCTTTTATAGTTTTATATTTTATTTTATTTTCCTTATTTCTATACCAAATTAGAGTATGGTAAAGAATTTCAATGCTTTTTTTTTCAAATGAGCACGGATGAGTGATAAACACAACGACCTAGCGAGAGATGCTGGGTTGACTTTCTTTTCTCCACTGATGATTATTGGTACAGTACTGTACAGTACTATACTAGAAATAGCCCCCCCCTTTCTCTCTTACCCAAGTTCCTGCACCTTAATAGAAATAACGCCCTTGAAGTATTCATACTTTAAAATTATGTATTTCCTACACTGCTAGAGGACACTTGCATTCATTTGGGTTTAAGCCAACACCACATTCTTTAACATTTAGTAGTACAGTAATGTACTTTCCAACTGTATAAAATATCGAGTTAATGTTCAGTAATTAAAGTATTCAGGAAAGCCTCCAGTGGCATCATGTTGCAACATACATGGGCATAAAAACAAATTAGAATAATCATCACTGTAATACCTGCTGCTTGGCCACCTCATGAGCCTCTCCAAGTGCCTCCAGGCTCTCTTTATACTCTTGCTGCAACTGCTGCACCTCATTCTCTTTCTCTGCTTGCCATTGATCATTCAACTCTTGCCTTAAATCTCGGACCATCTGTAATTCTTTGTCGCGCACAGACTCACGAATACGCCTGGCTTCCTGTCTTGCCTGCTCCCGGACCTTTAATAAATAAAAATGATGGTTTAATACTGTCCCTCCTCTAATTATCTGGAGGTAAATGAATATGCAACACAACGCATTAAGAATCTTATACAGTACAGCATTTCTCAAATTATGATAGATTTTATATACAAAATAAATTAATGCAGCATGAACAATATGGGTTTTTAAATCTGCTGCTTGCACTAAAACAAGCACTGTACTGTATGAAAAAATATATATATACTGTACATGTACAGTTATCCCCCCATACTCGTGAAACCCGTATTTGCAAATTCACTTTTTCACTTAAAGCTATTAGTGACCCTTTAGTCAAGATTCACAATCGAAATTAAGTTATCCATGAGACTATAAGAAAATTTGGGGGAATTACTGAGAACAGCACTACCACTAGAAGGAATTGTTGGATTTCATTCATTTTTTCCACAGATGTTCTTTTCATTATAGTAGTAAGTATTTTAAAAGACGCAATGGAGGGTGGGAGGAAAACTCACTACCTCCTGCTCGGCTGCCCACGATCCCTATATAACAACAGAACAGTATGCAATTCACCATAATTCCCATATTACAGTATTTAGGCTCAGTTGGTGCCGGGTTAATGAAACATTATCGAAAAATAATTAATTTTCCCCCCAAAATCCCACACTTAATCCCAGATGAGTTATTGCTTCATAGTATATTCTCAGTCTCTTGTTTTCAGAGAGGTAACAATTGATCGGTCCAACTGATTCACTCTCATTAATAGTGTTGCCAGCCCTCACCATCTCTCAAGCACCATTGTTGTCAATGCTCAAAAATATTGGTGTGATAGCTGTTTTGGAATCATACTAATTGTTTTAATTAAGTTTTGGAATTCATAAGTGGCAGGGCTTGATGTAAACACTTCTTGGCATTTTTGTTTTATTACCAATGCAGGTATATTTACACAGGTATAATTTGAGAGAATATATTGCGAATTCTCTCCAGAGAAGTGTTGTGAATAACACATTGATAATAAGTGCCCAGCTTCCCTGTCCAGTGGCAGTGAGTAAACTGCCACTGCCACTCCCTGGGCATGAGCCAGCCGGTTATTTGCTAAATCAGCTGACCCTGGCTCGACCCTTGAGAGAGATGCAAGCCAAGTGATTTAGAGTCATGAATAACATGGTGAATAACTTGGTGAATAACTCAGTGTTATTCATTTGGGTTTATATTTATATTAACCTAAGGTGATGTTATATTGGTGCTTACCACAGGATCTGTCTTGAGCAGGTCAGGTCAGTGGCAGAGGCCATGAGAGCAAACTTTCCATTTGATCTCACGTCCACAGAAAACGTAAATTACACTATACAGTACAGTATCATAATAAGTTCTTTCTGTTTAATACGCTGGGGGTCCACGGCTAGGAAGTTAGGTAAGGTTAGGTAGGTTTGTTTGGTAAGTTGGTGAGGTCTTAAAACAATGCTTCTGCTGCTTGTTTTTCCTATCAGGGCAAATATGGAGGACTCCACAGCCAGCAAGTTATTTGTTTTGATGTTTATATTCTTACTATATTTTCATCAGTGAGTTCTGATATAATAATCATTTTTGTGAAAACTACTTTGTTTGGTAGGTAATTAGGAGACTGGGCGCACATTACTTTGGCGCCCACTACTTAGACTTTCTCGCCGTGATGTGGTGATACATAGTCAATCATCTCTGATCAACGCCAGTAGCCAGTGTATGTTTATATGCCACACGGATCAGGTCGCTGCTCACATCCACGAAAAACGTCAAATTACACCAAATCATAGTAAGTTCTTTCTGTTTCATATGTCGAGGGGTCTGGAGGATTGAACCTCATGGCTAGGAAGTTAGGCAAGGTTGGGTACGTTTCTTTGGTTAGGTTGGTAAGGTCTTCGAACAACGCTTCTGCTGCTTGTTTTTCTTATCAACTAAGGTTAGGTTAGGTTTAATTTAGAAAGAACCATTTTTTAGCACATTTGCACAAACTACAACAGTGTCTACTATAAAACAACAAAAATGCTGCATTTTTATAATCGTTTTCTGTGAAAAATCGGCTGTGGGTCATCCCTCAATAATTACCCCAACCTAACCACAGAACCCAAAAAGGTAAAGGTGTAGATAATGGCTACAACCAGAAGGAATTGTCCAAATTGGTTGAAATTTTTTCTAAACACTAATATCAAGATATTAAATACGAAAATGGAAACGACAATGCATAGAACCTAATAAAACCTGACCTAACATACCCATAGGTTGGGTATGTTAGGTCAGGTTCTATTAGATTCTTTGTATTATCATGTTAATTTGGGTCCGACTAATTACCCAAATGTACCGCAATGAAGTCAAATAATGGTCCTACATGAATAAATCGGACTGCCAATCACTTCTCGACTAGTATTTGGTGTCACAAAGTAAAAAAAAATTGGAAAACGTAATTTAATCTGAGTTAATAGATCGCGTGCATGTACCGAGGGAGCGAGTAATTACCCAAATGTACCCAAATGTAGCCGCAATGAAGTCAAATGATGGTCCTACATGAATAAATCGGACTGCCAATCACTTCTCGACTGGTATTTGGTGTCACGAAGTCACAAAAAATTGGTAAACTTAATTTAATCTGAGTTAATAGATCAAGTGCATGTACCAAACCAAACCAAACCTAACTCAGATTAAATTAAATTTACCAATTTTTTGTGACTTTATGACACCAAATAATAATCGAGAAGTGATTCACAGCCCGATTTACGCTTGTAGGACCATCATTTGACTTCATTGCGACTACATTTGAGTACATTTGGGTAATTAGTCGGACCGTGTTAATTTGTGTTAAACAACTTACCTTAATATTGAGGTTGATATAAATCAGCGATGGCGAGGAGGAATTTGTGGAAGTGTTCACCATCTTTATAGGAAATATCTCTTGAAGAGGGATTCAGCAAGGTAAACGACAAAAATGGCGCCGGGAGGAGAATTGTGAAGCGGGAGTAAATAAAAAAATATAAAATAAATACTTAAAATCATAATTGAAAGTTGTCGTTTCTTTTAATATACTTAAAATCATCAAAACAATAAGTACAGCAAAAGTAAAGAAAATCAACAAACAACTTTAGGTGGTAGCCATTATCTACACCTTTACCCAAAAAAATATACCTAACCTAACCTAAATTCCTAAGATCGGTAAATTTACAGAATCACGCCAGTCTTTATTTCCGTATTAAAAACATGAAACTCGCAATGTTTACGCAATTCTAAGACATTTTTCTTCTACGATATTTCCACTGGAAATTAAGGATAACCGAGACCCCCGGGAAGACCGAAACTAAAATAATACACCAAAATACACCAGGAAACAATTTCTAGTCAAAAGGAGGGAATGGACGAAAAACAAACAATTGCCCCATTCATTCTATGAGAAGTCTTTCAGTTCCCCAACAAATTCGCCAAAGAAAGGGTTAATTAACAATACAGTTGTCAACTACCTGTTGTATACGGAAGATCTTCCACTTATGTCTCTCTTGTCTCACAGCTTCATCCACCTCGTTGGCACTAGCACACACACTTATTCCCTTTCTTGACTTGTTTATATCCATATCTTTTCTTTCTTCTTTTCCTGTAGATATAGTTTAAGTGATTCTCCATATCACCTGCGACTGCATTAACTCAAAACTCGTGCTGTAATGACTGATTGAACTGTTGCATCGTTTGTTTAGCTTCTTACTTGTCTCTGTCGCCGCGAGTTATTAAATTGACGTACAGTACTGTGCTAAGGCTTGGCGTACAGAAACAAATTTAGATACAGAAACTCGTGTAAAAAAATGACAGAACATAAGGTAGAGATTACGCATGGCTTAGTGGCTTCCAATCACTGCGTGTAATAAAAAAAATATGGAACACTGGCTAGTAGGTAGCAGGCAGCAGGCAGCTACCAAACAGGGAGGTACTGTAGTGGATTCCTCCCCTACAAACGCTGTTTCTCGCTGAATTCCCCAGTGGATGCCTCGTGGTCTGGGTCAACCAGCGCCGCCATACATCACGGAGGTCAACTACTAAGCCACGCCTACCTCCGCTATTTAAGACCTGACCTCGTGGTGACCTCTTTCTTCTTCTAGCTACAGCCGCAGCAAGCAACACCTCCTCCTCCGCCGCTCCCTGGCGGCCCTCGCTCCCGTCGGCGAGCATGGCGACCCCAAGCTGGTCCTCCTCTGAGCATCCTCACCAACCAGCTCTCTCTATATCACGCTTGTAACCACGCTGCCACTTCCCAGCATCAAGCTGCATTGTACATCCAATACAACATGTATACAGAGAGCACATTGTGAGTTTCCTTTCTCCATTCCATCCTGAGTGTGAACCCAAGCAACCCGTACCCTACAGTACTACCGCCTGGGAAGATATTGGAAGCGTAATGTGTTGTCTAATGGTGGACCCTGCTGCCATATAGCATCACGAAAATTGTGACCAAGTCCCAGGTTGCTGATCTGCCTTTCTGCCTCATTTACACACAATTGCGGGGTCTCAATTGTTTCTCTTACATGACAACACAACATACATATAGCGTTTCTCACTATTGATTTTTCATTTATGTATTTCTTTGTATTTATTATTATTATTATCAGTGTTGTTATTATTATTATTATTATCATTAATATTTTATTTTACTTTTTATTATAAATTTTATTTACTATAAATTATTATTATTAGTATTGTAGGGATATCGAGATATTAATGTTGTCTAGCACTCAGGATGGAAGGAAACTCTAATGTGGTTTTCTTGTATAATATATAAGTTATATGATAGACAGTCTGGTGCTGGAGATGCTGTGTGGTGAGGGGCTGCTTGGTAGAGACGTGCGGTGAGTAGCTTGTTGAAGGAGGTAGATGTGGAGGAACTTCGTTAGGGAAGATGTTGCCTGTTGCTGGCCTCCTGGTTGAATGAAATGTTAACAGCGTGGAGCTTGCTGGAGGAGATGTTGCTTGTTCAGGAAAATGGGCAGAATGAGAATTGGTTGGTGAGGAAGCTCAGAGAAGGACATGCTCGCTGGCGGGAGCGAGGACCGCCAGGCAGGCGGAGGAGAGGCGAGGGTCGCCAGGCAGCGGCAGAGGAGGAGGTGTTGCTTGTTCAAGAAGATTGGTCAGACTGAATCTCAATGGAGAGAAAGAGCTTATATACCCCGCAGCAGCCGCTATGAGTCATGGTGGGAAAACCCGAGAAGTAGCCGGTGAATAGTTTCGTTGCTAAGATACGGTAACATCTGGTTGGTTGCTAGGGAAGGCGGCACATTAGAATGTGATAGCAGGTGGTGTGCAGCTACGCAGTTAGTTTGTAGAGGAGACGTCCACTACAATACTCCCCCTCCCCTCCAGGCGGTGTAGGAGACATGTTGATTGTAGAGTTGCTTAGCACATGTGAGGAAGACCGGGCGGTGCATGCCTCATGTGAGACAATGGCGATGGCGTGATGAGCCGATCGCTGAAATACAACTGTCTAGATACACACTATCTGTGGGAGAAGGGAGAAAAAGGGTGTGTGGAGGCGATGAATGTTGTGCTTCCCTCACGACAGGTACAGGGTCGTCAGATGCGCCTGCTGGGGTGTGTGTGGGCCTGGGTCAGGAGCAGGGGCTGGGTCAGCAGAAGCGGGTTAGGGCTCGTGACAGCAGCTGGGTCCACGACAGCAGCAGGGTGCAGGACATTAGCAGGGAGTACCTGAGGGAGAAAAGAGGGGGTGTGGAGGCGATGGATGTTGTGTGCTTCCCTCACGGCAGGAACTGCTGGGCTGGCGTCTGAGGCAGGACGGGTGTGCTGGGGTCGTAGGATGTGGTGCTTGGGCAGGAAGAGGAGCCGGTGTCTGCTTGAAGACTGGGAGCGTGATCAGTGTCTCCTCCATCCTGTGTGAGTGCTAATCTCCGGGAGTCACCATTGTAGGGGTATCGAGATATTAAAGTCGTCTAGCACTCAGGATGGAAGGAAACTCTGTATCTGCCGGCGCTACTGGGATCTGGTGGAAGGCACGCATTTTTGAAAATTTCCCAAAATTTCCCAAAATTTTCCAAAATTTTCCAAAATTTTTCCAAAATTTTCCAAAATTTTCCAAAATTTTTCCAAAAATTTCAAAAATTTTCAAAAATTTTCGAAAATTTTTGAAAATTTTCGAAAATTTGAAACCTAATTTCAAGAAAAAATTCAAAGTACTAAAATTTTAAAATTTTCCAAATTTCCAAAATTTTTCAAATTTTCAAAATTTCGAAACAAAGACCCTCGAAATTTCTCAAAATTTTCAAAAATTTTAGAAATTTTGGAAAATTACTCGAAAATTCTAAAATTTGGAATTGAAAATTTTGAAAATTTTAAATTTTAAAATCCCTCAAAAAAATTTCCCAAAATTTTAAAAATTTTTCAAAATTTTTCCAAAATTTTTCAAATTTTTCAAATTTTCAAAATTTCCAAAATTTTCCAAGGTTACCAAAAATTTTTCAAAATTTTCATCTTAAAGATTTTCAAAAATTTTCAAAATTTTTCCAAAAGTTCCTGAAATTTTGCCAAAATTTTTAAATTTCCAAATTTCTAAATTTTGAATGAAATATTTTGAAATTTTCGAAAATTTTGGAAAATTTGAATTCCTCGAGTTACGGAAAATTTGGAAAAGGTGAATACAGATGGAAAATTCGGAAAATTTTGGAATTTTTGGGAAAGATTACTGGAAAATTTTGGAAATTATTGGAAAATTTTTTGAGAATTGCTGGTACTAAATTTCAAATTCAAAATTTTCCAAGAATCTCAAAATTAAAATTTTCAAAATTTCCAAAATTTCCCAAAATTTTCAAAATTTCATGCAAAATTTTCAAAATTTCAAAATTTTCAAAATTTTTGAAAATTTTTAAAATTTTGGAAAAATTTTCAAAATTTTGGAAATTTGGAAAATTTTGGAAAAATGGAAAATTTTTAATGGAAAATATGAAAATTTTGGAAAATTTTGGAAAATTTTAGAAAATTCTGGAAAAATTTTTGGAGAATTCGAAAATTTGGAAGAATTTTTCAAATATTCAAAATTTTAAATTCTAAAATGAAATTTTGGAAAAATTTTAGAAAAAATTTTAAAATTTTTGGAAATAATTTTTGGAAATTCACGGAAATTTCTGGAAAATTTCGGAAAATTTTGGAAAATTTTTGGAAAATTTTGGAAAATTTGGAGAAATTTTGGAATAATTTGAAAATTATTCGAAAAATTTAATTTGGAAAAATTTTGGAAAATTTTGGAAATTTTCTAAATTTTCAAAATTTTGGAAAAAATTTTCAAAAGAATTACTGGAAAATTTTGGAAAAATTTTGGAAAATTTTGGAAAATTTTTGGAAAATTTTGGAAAAATTTTGAAAAATTTTGAAAATTTTAATTTTGGAAAAATTGGAAAAAATTTTTGGAAAAAATTTGGAGAAAATTACGGAAAAATTTTGAAAAATTGAAAATTTTGGAAAAATTTTGAAAATTTCAGAATTCTCAAAAATTTTCGAAAATTTTCGAAAATTTTTGGAAAATCTGAAAAATTTTAAAATTTTGAAATTTTGAAAAATTTTGAAAATTTTCGAAAATTTTAGGAAAAATTTTGAAATTTTTAGAAAATTTGGGAAAATTTTGAAATATGATCGAAAATTTTTAAAATTTTTGGAAATTTTGGAAAATTTTGAAAATTTGGAAAATTTTGGAACATTTGGAAGAATTTTGGAAAATTTTGGAAAATTTTGGAAAAAATTTTGGAAAATTTTTGAGAAAATTTTTGGAAAATTTTGGAAAATTTTAAGAAAATTTTTGGAAAATTTTGAAGAATTTTTGGAAAATTTTGGAAATTTTAAAATTTTTGGAAATTTTGGAAAATTTTGGAAAATTTTGTGGAAAATTTTAGAAAATTTTTGGAAGATGCAGAATTTTGGAAAAATTTGCAGAAAATTTTGGAAAATTTTCGAAGAATTTTGGAAAATTTTGGTAGAAAATTTTCTAAATTTTCAAAATTAAAAATTATAAAATTTTGGAAGAATTTTGATTTTGGAAATTTTGGAAGAAAATTTTGGAAAATTTTGGAAAATTTTGGAAAAATTTTTGAAGGTGCAAAATTTTGAAGTACTACTGGAAAAATTTGGAAAAATTTTGGAAAAATTTGGAAATTTTGGAAAATTCTGGAAAAATTTTGAAAAATTTTGGAAAATTTGAAATTTCAATTTTCCAAAAATTTTCGAAAATTCTAGAAATTTTAAAATTTTGAAATTTTTGGAAATTTTTGGAAATTTTTGAAAATACTGAAAATTACGGAAAATTTTGAAATTTTGAAAATTTTGGAAAAATTTTCAAATTTTAAAAACAAAATTCAAAATTCTCGAAGTACCAAAATTCAAAATTTTCAAAAGACTCACCAAATTTTCCAAAAATTTTCCAAATTTTCAAAAATTTTCCAGAATTTTCCAAAATTTTCCAAAAATTTTCGAAATTGCAAAATTTTGGAAAATTGGAGAAAAATTTTAATTGGAAGAAAATTTTGAAATTTTTGGAAAATTTTCAAATTTTTAATTTTCATTCTTAAAATTTTCGAAATTTTCAAAAATTTTTCGAAAATTTTCAAAATTTTCGAAAAATTTCAAGATCCAAAATTTTCAAAAATTTTCAAATTTTCCAAAATTTTCAGTACTAAATTTTCAAAATTCATTGAAAATTTTGGAAATTTTGAAAATTCAAAAAAATTCGAAAAATTTCCTAAAATTCAAATTTCAAATTTTCAAAAATTCCCAAAATTTTCAAAATTCTCCAAAATTTTCAAATTTTCAAAATTTTCCCAAAATTTTCGAAAATTTTAAAATTTTGGTTTTGTGAAAATAAAATTTAAAAATTTTGAAAAATCCCATAAAATTTTTGAAATTTTTAAATTTTGGAAAATTTTGGAAAATTTTAAAAA